CTAGGATTTTGTGACGCGCATTCCTGCTGGAGAGCTTCCCCAGGACTCACCGGTTGGAGTTCGGCCGAGCGTGGCAATGGCGCGCGGATCGCGAGCGAAAAGGCAGAGTCGTCTGTCAGCGGTGCTAACGTCAGCACACTGTCAATTTTGTTCGGGAACTGCGGAATAGTTTAGACGTCTAGTAAACATCCTGTCTAGGATTTATAACGCGAATTCCTTGTTGGATAGACTTTCCCGGGACTTATTGGGTCCGACTCAGAATCTGTATAAGTGCATTCGGCAATATTAGCTAGTGCGGCCTTTGATATTCTAGAAATAACTGTTGCTACGCGAAACGGTAATGACCTTTGACCTCCGTGTTCGTTTTGTGCGTTAACCTTATAACAAACCAGAGAGTAAGTGGCTTCTGTAAGTTAATTAATCGTACGATAGAGTTAATGTACTGTCATCGTGACGAACGAGGAAAGTGACTGTGGAGAACGCCGCGGAAGGTTCCCTCAATTTGGAGCGGTGTCGACGCCCGGGCTGCTGCCGACGGCCAAGGTCTAGGGTCAATCACCATCAGTCACACCCAGATACACATCACATCACCTTATTTCCCTTGCACTACACAACCACATGCGACCTGACCGACTCCGGAGGTACCAGTCGCCTTGGATATAGGTAAGTAAGCTCCGTCCAATATCCTCACGGTCGACTGGCCATAGTATAGAACGCTCCCCCATATAGTTTAGTGCAATTAGAGAAATTCCACGTGGCCACATTGAGGCCCGACCTACGTCTGCTCGGGAAGTCTTCTGCTCATGGGCCCCAGAGGATTTGACCCTTTAAGGGAGCAGCCGTAGGCGTAACAACTATATAAATACCCCAAATAATAATAAAATATATATTCATTGATCAAAAGTAGCGAAGCAAAAAAAAGTTTACCTTATCAAAATATAATAATGTAAGAAGGACAATGAAAGGGCTCCGACTCAGCATGTATTGCAGAGAATCCTCGTACAACTTCTCTGTGGAATTGTTTACCACCTGCGATTTTTCCGGTCCGATACGACTTAGGAAAGAAAAGATATTACACCTTTCTAAATGGCCGGCAACGCATCTGCTAATCCCCTGGTGTTGCGGTTGTTCATGGGCGGCGGTAGTCACTAACCATCACGTGAGTCGCATGCTAGTTTGCCCCCTCTTCTATAAAAAAAAGAATCAACAACGCTGTATTTCTCTCAGTACCCGTATACTTAATGAACTAATCGTATAAATGCACGTAGCACATCACGTACATAAATTTTTCTCCTGTCTTTTAAAATATATTATTTACGTGTTTTAAATTAAATGCTCTATTATTTTTACAGGTAGTGTTCACCTACAGGGAAAAAATTAATAATGTGTAGTGTTATGCTACTTACATATCATTTTACATTATTTTAAATTCATTTTTCCATTCTGTTTCGATTTTCTGCATTCACTTCAAAACTGGATATTTTACATCATCTTTATTTCCATAGGATCCTGTAACGATTTTAAACCATAAGAACACAATAACAAATCATTTCTACTTCGTATTTTCACATTATCAGCACTTTTAAATTGGTGTCAATGGAGTCTACCTTTTTTTGATCTTTTAGTTAGTTTTCCGTAACTCTACAATCTCGGGCTTTGTGTGGGCAGTTGCGCTACCTTTTTTCCTATATCAATAATATCTCATTTTCCACTTAAATCTTGCCGTTTTCTTATTACACGCCTAAAACCAAAATTTGGCATGTTTTGACATTGTTGTTTATTTGGTCTCCATAGCAATTATATTCAAATTTACTACCGGTCTGTTGTTTCTATTTCGATAATTCCACATAAATACTCTTTTCTCTTGACCATGTACAAAAAATTTGCGTTTAATTATAATAATTTTTCCGTTCTCTCTAGAAAGGTATAAAAGCCGAACAATCGGTGAAGAAAGGCAGTCTCGCTTCAGTTCTCGAATTGGAAGCATCTTCTAAAGGCCTTATACCGGGGCCGCACTGCCCCGGGATCCTGCAAGCCTCTGTCCTGCCGGAAGCCACTGGACTCTACGAACCTCTGCTCTACCTGAAGTCGCTGGACTCTACAAACCGTTTCTCTGCCTGAAGTCGCCGGGATCCTACAAGTCTCTGCTCTACCTGGAGTCGCCGGAACCTGCAAACCTCAGTTCCGCCTAAAGTCACCGGAACCTGCAAACCTCTGTCCCGCCTGCAGTCACCGGATCCTGCAGGCTTCTGTGTTGTCTGAAGCCGCTGAGGATCCTGCAAGCCCCTGTCTGGCCTGAAATCGCCGGATCCTGCAATTACCACATTCACCGGAGGTCGTCGCCTAGAGACGCCCACGCCTTCTGACCTACGCCGTGCGTGCTCGTTCCAGGCGCTGAGAGCACACCTTGGATCTTCAGTCTCAGTCTCAGCTTCGGCACTAATCTCTCTTTTTTTTTATTACTTTTTTTAAATAATCTGTAAATCGCATCATCCATCCTCATATTCATACTCCATTTTTGTATAAAATTGTAAATAACTTTGAATCCTAAATATATTTTTTTGTTTTTGTTGTATTTTTGTTGTTTTGTTGTTCTTAGGTTAGATTTTTTTTTGTTTTTTATTGTCGCTTCATGACATTTGGCGCCCAACGTAAAAGTTCTCTTTCTCTTCTCTTCACCTTTACTGCGCCTTGTCCATTCCTTTTGATTTAATTGCTTCCTCTTTCGTTCTTAACTCTTTATTTATTCATCCTTTTCATACCTTCCAAATCCTAAAACAACACTTCATCTAGTGTTTCAACTTATCTGGATTATATTTAGACCTACATTTAACACTTACAATCATCACTTTAATATTTTTATTGTAGATAATCTTCCAAATTCTAAAACACTTCATCTAGTGTTTCAACTTATCTAGATTATATTTAGACCTACATTTAACACTTCACTTACATTCATCACTTTAATATTTTTATTCTAGGTAACTTAAAGAGGTATAATTTTTTAATTAAATTTTTATTTCTTAAACTTAACTTTACAAATTTGACGCTATTACTTAACAATTCGAATCCTTGACTCCACCTTCAACTGAAAATGACTCTCCATCACTTGACCCTACTGTTGACCCGACTGTCATGGAACCCCCTCTTGTTTCTCAAACTTCACCATCATTCTCATCTTCACCATCATTTTCACCTTATTATTTTTATTTCTTTTAATTTGTTTGTTTGTTTGGTTGGTTAATCTTCACTTTTTATTATTATTTCAGACACATCTCGCTAGTGATGTTGCTGATCTCTGGCTTTGAGCCCTACCGCTCTGGCCGTTCTTTATCTTTACTTAAGTCATAGCGCCTAAAGCTTGCTTAAGATTGATTTCTTTATCTTTATCTTCACTTGGGAGCGGCTGACTACTCCCTTAATAATTTTTCTTTCCACGCAGGAGCGGATGACAACTCCTTAAATAAGCCTGAATGTCCTTTCGAAAACACACTTTTAGAGTGGTAGTCATTGAATGTGAACTCCACCCTTACCTGAATGGCAAATGATGAATGTAAGAGATAGTATATCTGATTTTGCCTGGTGATGTCTGTTTCTGCAAAGCTGTGTTTTTATGGTTTATTTTAGAATGTATATATCAAATTTTTGCTGAGTCAAAAATTTTCCAGGGTCGGGGGGAAAATGTAGTGTTATGCTACTTACATATCATTTTACATTATTTTAAATTCATTTTTCCATTCTGTTTCGATTTTCTGCATTCACTTCAAAACTGGATGTTTTACATCATCTTTATTTCCATAGGATCCTGTAACGATTTTAAACCATAAGAACACAATAACAAATCATTTCTACTTCGTATTTTCACATTATCAGCACTTTTAAATTGGTGTCAATGGAGTCTACCTTTTTTTGATCTTTTAGTTAGTTTTCCGTAACTCTACAATCTCGGGCTTTGTGTGGGCAGTTGCGCTACCTTTTTTCCTATATCAATAATATCTCATTTTCTACTTAAATCTTGCCGTTTTCTTATTACAAGCCTAAAACCAAAATTTGACATGTTTTGACATTGTTGTTTATTTGGTCTCCATAGCAATTATATTCAAATTTACTACCGGTCTGTTGTTTCTATTTCGATAATTCCACATAAATACTCTTTTCTCTTGACCATTTACAAAAAATTTGCGTTTAATTTAAATAATTTTTCCGTTCTCTCTAGAAAGGTATAAAAGCCGAACAATCGGTGAAGAAAGGCAGTCTCGCTTCAGTTCTCGAATTGGAAGCATCTTCTAAAGGCCTTATCCCGGGGCCGCACTGCCCCGGGATCCTGCAAGCCTCTGTCCTGCCGGAAGCCACTGGACTCTACGAACCTCAGTTCCGCCTGAAGTCACCGGAACCTGCAAACCTCTGTCCCGCCTGCAGTCACCGGTACCTGCAGGCTTCTATGTTGTCTGAAGCCGCTGAGGATCCTGCAAGCCCCTGTCTGGCCTGAAATCGCCGGATCCTGCAATTACCACATTCATCGGAGGTCGTCGCCTAGAGACGCCCACGCCTTCTGACCTACGCCGTGCGTGCTCGTTCCAGGCACTGAGAGCACACCTTGGATCTTCAGTCTCAGCTTCGGCACTAATCTCTATTTTTTTTATTACTTTTTTTAAATAATCTGTAAATCGCATCATCCATCCTCATATTCATACTCCATTTTTGTATAAAATTGTAAATAACTTTGAATCCTAAATATATTTTTTTGTTTTTGTTGTATTTTTGTTGTTTTGTTGTTCTTAGGTTAGATTTTTTTTTGTTCTTTATTGTCGCTTCACGACAAATGTTTACCAAAATAATCGAATGTCACGGTCATCACATGACCCTGACATTTGAGACAGACATGAGAGACAGAGAAATTGACCGCAAGTGGAACTTCCCTCATTGTCTAAGGTCAATAGATGGAAAGCATATCGTGATACTAAGTCCTATTCACAGTGGTTCATAATACATAAAATATAATGGTCGTAGTTTTAGCTTTGGTTGACGCTGACTACAACTTCATTTTTGTGGATTGTGGTTACAAGGGAAGAATAAGCGGTGGTGGTGTGTACAGAAACACTGAGTTCTACAAAAAACTGTGTCGTTCTGAATTGAATTTATCACAACCAGATTTTTTACCATTAAAAGAAGAAAAGACGCCGTACGTTTTCGGAGCTGATAGTGCATTCGTCCTAACTGTTGACATAATGAAGCCATATCCTGGGAACCATAACAAAGGGACAAAAGAAAGAGTCTTCAACTATCGTCTGTCAAGAGCTCGGCGTATGGTCGAAAACGCTTTCGGAATACTGTCTTCTGTTTTCAGAGTACTAAGGAAACCTATTCTTTTACAACTCAACAAGGTTACGGACATACTCGTAGTTATGACTTGTGTAAAAATCAAAGCAAATATATACACCAGTTGGCAGTTTTGACACTGATCATGAAGGCGTTTTTCAACCTGACTCTTAGCGAAATGATCAATAAGGAATGAGTTCTCCACTACCACTGAGATCTTTACCAAGAAGAGCAGCTCTTACTTTTAAGAGCGTTAGAGATACATTTGCTGAATACTTTGTAAATGATGGCGCAGTTCCGTGGCAGGATAACTATTAACTTATTGTTTCCTACGTTTGTAATAACTTCATATTTCGAAGAGTGAAATAAATTACGTAAATGGTAGGTTGATCTGTAGCGTAGCTGACTGTACGTGACACGAGGTTATATTCGATATAGTATAATTAATAATAAATTCAAATAATACTGTTCATTGTAATTCTTCTTCTTCGAGTGCCTCTCCGACTAGCGAAGGTTGGCAGTCAGATTTGAATACTCCTTCCTGTTCTTCGCGACGCGAAATAGCTCGACAACACTCCTGATTCCCGTCCATTCTCGGATGTTGCGCAGCCAAAACTTTTCTCTGCGACCAACAGCTCTCCTTCCGGCAACCTTTGCCATCATAATGAGTTGCAAAAGTTCATATCTTTCATGCCTAAACACGTGTCCGAGATATACAACTTTTCTTTACTTGACAATCTCCAAAAGTTGCCGTTTCCGGTTGACGCGTCGCAGAACTTCTATGTTCGAGATCTTTTGAGTCCAACCAATGGCCAGCATACATGGTCTACATGCCCACATCTCGAAAGCTTCTATACGTTTCATGAGGTCTCCTTTAATTGTCCACGCCTCGCATCCGTAAAGAAATATAGGCCAGATGTAGAAGTCGTATGCGCACAGGGATCTTAAGTCTGCAATTGCAGAGTACTTTTTTAACGTGCAGAAGGCACTTCGAGCTATTTCTATGCGAGTCTTTACCTCCTGTTCACAGCTCCATGTGTCACTAAGCCAATGTCCCTAGATATTATTTGTACTTGCGCACCCTCTCAATTTTTTGACCCGCTACAATGATAGCAATGTCTTCGTTTTTGAGGTGTTCATCCACAGACCAGCGTTTTCACTGCACTCATTAACACGAGTCACAATCAGTTGTCAATCTTCAGGAGATGATGCTATTAGGACTGTATCATCAGCATATCTGATGTTGTTAATATACCGGCCATTTATTTTGACTCCACATTCCAGGTCTTCAATTGCTTCTGCTGTTATTTTTACCGAGTACAAATTAAATACCGTAGGTGATAATATACAGCCCTGTCGAACTCTTCTCTTTATTTTGACCTCATCAGTCTCCTCATCGCCAAATCGTACAGTAGCTTTCTGGTTCCAGTACAGATTCTGAATAATACGTACATCTTTGTCATCTAAGTCGATATCATGTAATATTGAAATTAGATGATCGTGCAGTACTCTGTCGAAAGCTTTTTCATAATTAATGAAACAAAGAAAAACATCTTGTTGCATGTCTCTGCATTTTTGTACCAGAACCTGCATTGCAAAAAGAGCCTCTCTCGTACCCACTAATGTCCTAAAGCCAAACTGGCTGTCTGCAAGTTGTTCGTCACATTTAGCTCTTATTCGCCCGTGGATGACAGGTAGAAATAGTTTCAATACTTGACTCACAAGGCTAATCGTTTGAAACTCTTCGCACCTTTTTGCGTTGGTCTTCTTAGGAAGTGTAACAAAAGTTGGGGTTAGCTAGTCTTTGGGTAAGTAGCCAGAATCGTATATCAAATTAAAAAATTTAGCCAGGAAGTCACTATTTTCTTCTTTAATAAGTTTAAGTACCTTTATGTGAACATTATCCGGCCCGGTCGATTTTCTCGTTTTAGCTTTTCTAAGAGCGTTTGTGACTTCATTCTTTATGATAGAATAATCCCTCATTTGTGTCACAATTTACCGCTATGCTTCGAAAATCGTCAGCAAACATTGATGAGATGTATTGTTCCCATTGATGGTTTTTTCCTGATATATCTAATATGGGAATATTATTTTCATCCGTTAGTTGATGAGTGGTCTTTTTGTGCCCTACCAACGATTTTATTTCCATTTGCAGGTTAAATGCATCATGTTTAGCATACAGGTCCTCCACAAAATCACATTTGCACTGATACCAAGCCTCTCGAGCATAGCGCACTTTACGCCGGATTTTCTTATCAATCTCAGTATAGTTGCTTTAGTCTCAATTCTCGTAGATTCTCCTTTCTTCCATAAGATTATATATTTTTTCTGTCATCAAACTCTGCTTAGGATTCCAATCTCTTTTCAAATGTGTCTTATTGATATTTAATATTTTCTTCTTCATTGAACACCACTCTTCCCCACTCATTTATTTCTTTCACCACTTCATCTTGGATGTTAAGCACTTTGAGTTTTTTCACATCTATTGCATGGTACTGTGTTCTCTTCTTTAGTTGTTTAAGTCTACATGATATTGCAGAATTGTACAAGGGAATCACCTCTCTCATTCCTTGCCCCAAGTCCAAACTTCCCGACTACTCTTGCTACCTCTCCTTTCCCCACTTTAGCATTAAAATCGCCAATCACTAGATTTATTTCGTAACTTATTGTCATTTGGAGCAGGTCTTCTATTTCCTTATAAAAGTCTCGAACTTCTTGATCCGACCTATCTGTAGTAGGAGCATACATTTGTATGATGTTTATATTTCTTGACTTAGCTTCTATTTGAAGTAACATGGTTCGGTTTGATTTTGGTACTAAGTCACAGGTGTATTAACGCATTTCGTGTTTATGATTACTCCCACTCCGTACTTGTTGGAGCTATCGTCAGAACCAGAGTAATAAATGGTGTAGTTATTATCTATTTGATATTTACCTTTGCCTATCCATCTGATATCACTTAGGCCCATGATGTTAATCTTCATTCGTTGCATTTTTTTGCAAACATTGTAGACTTTTTCAGGTCTCTTCAAACTTCTGACGTTCCACATTCCTATCTTCATTTGTTGTTTTCTCCATCTGGTTATTCTTAGCACTAGGGACTCGGGGTCATTTCTTCCATAGACTTTTCCATAAAGCTGACGATAACTAGGGAAAAATAGTGCAGTGGTTTCCCCTTGCCTTCTGCACCAGACATTTTAGAGGTTACTTATACCTCAGGTATCATGATGATGATACCTCAAGGTCGCTGCTTGCCTTTACCAATCACTGTGTTGGATGCATATGGTTATACAGCCATTGATCGGCCGCCAGAGCCTCGTCTGTTATCTAACAGGGGGCACCACGTGCAGGTGAGGTTGGCCATTGGGTTGGATCAGATGGTAGTTCCGTTCCCCTTTTACCCCCCTTCATTTAAATAGATACTCCTATTATTTTTAATGTAACAGAAAGATTTAATTATTAAAATAATAATAATAAAGGTACTCGTATGATAGAAGGCCTTTTATTTTGTTATTTTATATATATATATATATATATATACAAATAAAAGTTACTCACCATTATCGTAGTTTTTGTCTTTCTTGGTTTATACATGACATCCAAAAGTTTTGCCATTATGTTGTAGAATGGCCATTCCGGTTTATATACATTATCGGTGCCACTACCCGTTTTCATTGACTCTTTGATTTCAGCTTTCACCTTTCTGTAGGTAGACATTAAATTTTCATTTTTCTTTTTTAACTGCGTGATAGAGATATTTCCAGCTTTTAAATTAGTTTTTACGCGTAACCACGCATCTTGGTCATCGTTCTTGTTTTTATGTTGAAGCGACGAACTATTCGAAAGCACTGGTTCATTTTCATAAAGAGTCAAAAACTCGAAAATGAGCTAGTTCGTCCACTCAATCTTGAGCGCGTTCAGCGCAGGCGACGCCGCATTTGAAATGAATGATTGCAACTGACGACAACGCGCCCGTACAGGCCGCAACAGGCACCGTCGGGCCGCGCCGCGCCTTTGAAATTACCGACGCCCGATGGATCAAGCTAGGATCCCACGGCCTCGCCAGGCGTTGCCCCGCCTGAATGGGGTTGTCGCGGCCCGTACTGAGCATTCCCACGGCGTGTGCCGGCCTGGTGCGGCCTGTCGACTGACATTCCAACATGTTAAGTGATACGGAGCGCAAGTCTGCGTGTGCAGCCGCTGTGGTTTTATTCAGTGATGAACGTTTAATAAATCAAGTAAAAAGAAAGCAGAAGAAACGACGCTGGTGGGTATCGTCATTCAACAAAAGCCGTTCTTGTTTTTATGTTGAGGCGACGAGCTATTCCAAAACGCAGGTTCAGTTTCATAAAGAGTTAAAAACTCGAATATGAGCTCGTTCGTCCACTCCATAATTAGCGTAAACGCGCAGGTGCTACTTAGGGTTGCCAGATGGTCGGGATTCGTCTGGATTCTCCCGACATTTTAAATGATCTACAGACTCCCGACAAAACTCAAAATCTTCAGACAAACGGCTTCTCGGAAAGTGCTATACAAAATAATAATTTAAAATTGCCACGCGCGGTCACATTCTTCTTCGTCATGTCCCGACAACATGGCTATCTCTTTTGCCCACTGTAGACCATTTGCTGTATTGTCTGCTGTAAAGCAGTATTTTATGTTGAATGGGGAAGACGAATGTCGAAAAGAGATATTTAACAAAAAGTAAAAGCCATATTGATAATAATAGTGATCGGGTTGACGAAGGCAAACAGGAAGTAATTTCAGAAGCGTATTTAATACTCTGTACTTTGTAACGTAATATTGGAGTTCCAAGTAGCAATTTTAACATTGGAAAGTGCTCCATGCACTGTCCTGGAACTTGACAGTGTAATGAAAAAACTAATGAGTCATCTCAAAAACAGGTTGGATGACATATTCTTAGGTAATAGAAAACTAACCTTATAAAGGAATGTTTCTGAATTTTTCCAATAGTGAGAAACCCTTTTTTGCGTCAAAGCTGAACATTTTTTAAAACGAGCTATTGAATACTTTTCTGAGAACTCTATATAAAAATTGGCTGTATTGTCTTTACAAGGTTCAAATTTATTTATGTGGGAAGAGTTATCCGTATTGCCTGACGTACTTAATATTTCAA